CTTCCTTGTAGCCCCCCCAGGCACTGGAAGGGGCTCTAAGGTCTCCCCGGAGCCTTCCCTTCTCCAGGCTGAACCCCCCAACTCTCCCAGCCTGTCCCCAGGGCAGAGGGACTCCAGCCCTCGGAGCATCTCCGGGGCCTCCTCTGGACTCGCTCCAACAGCTCCGTGTCCTTCTGCTGTTGGGGACCCCAGAGCTGGAGCAGAACTGCAGGGGGGGTCTCCCCAGAGCGGAGCAGAGCAGGAGAATCCCCTCTCTCGCCCTGCTGGCCATGCTCTCTGGATACAGCCCAGGATATGGTTGGCTTTCGAATGCCTCCTGATGGGTCAGGGTCCTCGTCCCTGCGAGCTCTTACCCTTTGCCCACTAAGGTTTCATTGGGGATGTATTTGTTTTTCAGATTGGTCATAAAACTGAACAGCATCTTCGTCTGTCTCTAACTGGCCAAACAATGTGGCTCCTGCTGTTTGCAACACGTGTTTTCTTCCAGCCCTTTCTGTTTGCCCTTCAGGGGACAGTCCCCTGCCTGGTCACATCCTCAGGAGAAACGAAAGGTGCCGTCCGTGAAGGCCGAGGTGATGAGCAGATGTCCAAGCCGCAGCAGTTCCCTGGGGAGAGGCCCTTTGAGTGCAAGGCTGGTTCCCAAAGAACGCTCCCAGAGGCTGTGTGTGGTGGGACTGGAGCCCTGATGGACCAGCGGCCTCCGAGCAGGAGCGCATCAAGGTTTGGTCTCTCCAGAGCTGGGTCCCACGGGACACAGGTGCGTGTCCCCAGGCCCACAGGCATGGGTGATCCCTTCACCATTAACTTTTGTAAACCACAGCTCCCCATTTTTAGTTTTCTTTTTTCCAAATGGCAGATCTTGAGCTAGGCTACACGTTCAGTTTACTTTCCAGGGCATGGGAAGAAGCTTAGGCCCGGAGTTTAATGAAGGGGACGAATCCGATGCTGCGTGGTAGTACACCACGTACACCGCGTTGGAGCTGTGTTGGGAACCGTTTCAACGAGTGCCTGACTTCTTCAGATTGTCTTAAAAGTGAGCATTGCATCCCCAGCGGCTTTAAAGTGTTTCTAGAAGCTGCTTAGTTACCAACCTGTGCCAAAATGTACATTTTTGGAGGTGGATGGAGTCGAATTTCTGTACTGAAATACGGAAGAACCTCGTGTAGGACAGTGGGTAACTATGTTGTTGTGTCATCAAGGGTGTGTGGACTGATGGGGTTTTGTAGGAGATTTTTAAGACTGTACTGGGGAGAAGTTGTTCTCCATGAGCCACACATCTGTGAGATGTAAATGTCACCACTGTGCCGGGGAGAGCCGCGGTGGTTAGCAGGGGACGAGCGAAGCGTGTGGGTCCGAGTTCCCCATACGGGGCGATCACGTTCACCCAGATCAGTGCTCCCTGTGTTCAGGTCTCCGTCAGTCGCTCAAGTGTTTCTGCAGCTGTACGCACTGTCTTGGGGGGATCTGGGGAGACGAATGTAGTAGGGATGGCGTGTTTGTGGGAGGAGGGGGAAGCCTTTGGGGAAAGAAGCTGCCGTAGGAGGAGTGTAACTGGTGCCATCTTGGACCTCAGCGTGAGGTGGGATTTTGGCCGTGTCGCTCAGCCCTGAATAACTGCGTGGTGAAAGGGGCTTTGTTGTTGCCCCCAGTCGAGATAACCCCAAGGGCGCAGGCCAGCATCTGTTGGACTGTCTGGGGCACGTGGTCCCAACTTGCTCCTCCTTGGCCCAGGGGCGGGAGAATGAGAGGGCTGCAAGGGTGACATCCAGGTCTGCATACGAGATCTTAGTCTCCTGCCCTGAGCCCTCTCTGGGATGAGGGCCTGGATAACCCAACTGGGTTGACTCGTAGGGCAGGTGCCATAGCAGCACTGTTTTAGTTCACAGGGCTTTTGGAAATCACGGCTGTTCTCATCCTCACTTGGTTTCATAGGATCACAGAATCCAGAATGGTTTGGCTGGGAAGGGACGTCAAAGCCCACCCCGTCCCACCCCCTGCCCTCGGCAGGGGCCACCTCCCCA